AAATAATATAAAATATAATTAATAAATAAATAAATAAATAAATAAATAAATAAATAAATAAATAAATAAATAAATACAAAACAGACAAGAACACTTACATAATTTTGAACTTGTCGTCACTTCTGGTTTCAATGATAGATTTGTTTCTTAATGGCTTCACAAAGCAACAGCAGGTCCAGAGTCTTATATAAAAAAAAGTTTCAATTGTTCCTTATCCTCAGTATTTATGTTTCCGTGTGTTTAGACCTTGTTTTTAGGTTTTGGGCGACTATTTCCAGAACGTTACATGACCCCCTTAAACTAGGCTGCCTTATCAACTGAAAAGTCGTGTGTCATTTTGTTAAAGACCTGCCGGCGTCGAGGGAGCTTGAAGGCGCTGACAATATTGGCAGGATTATTTGTAAATGTGAATGACTTAGTTCATCAAGCCACGACTTGACTGGTCTTCGGCCAATAATTTCGCCACGTCATCAGCGCCTTGGTGAAGTGTTTCACATTTGTTAGCAAACGGAATCGACGATGATCAGTACCCCCTGTTGATGTTGACTTCCCCCAACGTTGGGACGTCGGGGTTAAAGGTTGGGGTCATTTTTTTAGCTTCGTTGCGACGCAACGGCGGTTTACTTTTAAACTGCTTTTTTAAAACATTTATTATTCTATTCTTTTATTTATTGATTTTTCTATTTTTTCTTTTAATTATTGTTCTTTGTTTCTATTTATTTTTTTATTTTATTATTTTATTTAATCTTCTATTTTTCAAGTTATCGTTCTATTCTTCAATTTAGTCTTTTGTTTCTTGTTCTATTCTTAATTTTATTTTTTTATTTATTCTTTTATTTATTTATCTGATCTTATATTTAATCTTTTATTTATTTCAATTTTGGCCCTAATGGCACACCATAAGAGGAAGGTGTAACCTTGAAAAAAATGTGCTAGACCAGTTTCTGTGGTCAATACAGGTGTATACGGACGCGTTTAAGTTTGATTTAATTTCAATATCCTATTCGCGGTAAAATGTAGAAGAATTTCATGAAGGAGAAATATGGCCAACCTTTCCCGTTAAATCTATAAGTGCTGATTCGATAAATGCTTAAATTTCAACTTAAAACGCCTTTTTGGTCAAATCTTCGTAGATACAAACCAGTAATTTAAGGGGCAAGGCGTCACTGGAAATATAAATTGTCTGACAAACTAGTGTTTTTGGTCACTTGTGAGACGCATATTTCACAAATGCATAATATACAGGTGTTTAGTGAGTACGTTTCTCTTCAGTTTTGAACTTTGTTTTCGGCAAATAGTCACAATTGCTCAAATGATTTGCTAATTCAAACATTTTAATAGGTCGAAGTTCTGTAAAGTAAGCTAAGACCTACTACGCTGCGATACTGTTTTTAGGGACACACTCAAGTTACACATAACTATATACAATATTTTGACGAAAACTAGAGTTTAAACGGAAATCAAGGCTCAACGCACACGACATCTCCTGTAAAACATGTATTTTCAAAATCAGCTACCCCAATTTCAACAAAAAGTAGAACTGGGAAATTTACCTATCAGATGACACCTTTGTCTTAATGATCTATAATGATATTACAATGCCACATAGCAGTTCAGTTCACAACGTTTTGTCGAAAGACTATTTTGTTAAAAGTTGTGTATATAGTTAATTAAGTGCGCAAATACCAACAAATACGATATGAATTGAGTGTAATTGCTATTTGTGTAAAAGAAATTATTCTTTGCGATCTGAAGGGAAGAAAAGTCAGGTTTTTAGTAGGTCGTGATCACACCTGATTCAAATTTAAATAATGTTATTGTGATCAAGAATCTTGAGCACCCTCCCCTATTCATCAGTATAATTTGATATCATTTAGCTATGCTTTTTTTATTATTAAAGTTAAGAAAAATCCGCCGTTTCCAATAGCTGCAGATTTCTAGAAGTAAAATGGCGAGTTAATAGCCAATGTCTGCAAATCTTTAGTAACAATAAACAGAATTATATGGCATTATGTTTCTTGTTTCCATATTTAGCACACTAGATCCATGAATTAACGAATGCTGTGCTTACTCCTGAAATCGACAAAACAATCCAAATTGGATCAGTTAAAATGAAGCATTACGACGATATCTTAAAACACCACTTGGGTGAGTTTGGTACATTTCAGAAACGCACGTTCCTATTACTCGGTTTGTCTATCATACCCAATGGTATGCGAGTAGCTTCGATTGTTTTTATAATGGCGGAAACAGACCACTGGTGCAGGCTTCCTGGATACGAAGATCTCGTCACACAGTGCAAATACATTAACGCTACTACAAATTGTGACTTGTTTGCGAAAACCTTGGCACTTCCGAATGAAACTGTTAGCAGTGCTTGTGGCACCAAGTGGAAATTTAGCAGTTGTCTTAGATATGATGTCAATACTACTGACGTCATTGACTTGATGAACACACATGATAATCATACATGGAAAACGATGAATTGCGGTGACAAGATGGAATACGATACAAGCCAGTATACATCCACCGCTGTCCAAGAGGTTAGATAATGTTTGTATTACAATAGTCAATTAATTTTATGCTTGACATAACGGCAGGGACAGACATAATATATGCACACTAGGTAATGATTGATCCAGAGATATGAATATCTCCCTATGCAAATTGCCACTGTTACAAATTTAGGTTTTTATAAATTTATATTTTTCATAGCATCAACTAATGACACTAGACTTTGTGCGTGATAAAATACTAATACTAAAACATAAAAACAAAACACTCAGTTGCATAAAAACCAATGTCTAATCCAAAGAATCATACTTAAAAGATTGTTTGAAAATCGGATTAAAGCTAAGGCTAAAGTTCGGTAAACTATATTAATGTTATTTACCCTGTATAAACATTTTATCGTTACAGTTTGGTTTTGTTTGCGACCGGTATTATCTGGGTCCTCTTTCAACAACAATACTTTTAGTTGGTCCATTCCTGGCTAATATATTCATGGGCCAGTTGGCAGACAGGTTAGTTCTAACTAAATTAAATGGAACGCAATTTCTTTTAAACTGGAATTTGGAGAGATTATTTAATAGTTTCAGCAGTCCAAAAATATATTTTACATTATTTATTTACCCAGGATTGGGCGTCGACCAACGTTGATGATTAACATAACTATATTCGTGGTATTTGGAGCTTTACAATCTGTGATACGAACCACTGTTGTGTTCTTTATCTGTAATTTCATGGTAGGCATAGCTATGTTTGGTATGTATTCACAAGTTTTTGTATTTGGTAAGTTTGATTTATTTATTCATAACTGCCCACTCATGTTATTTCAAGTATGTCTAAGTCCATTCATGGGTATGTTTCTGTAACACCTTTCGGCCGGAATAGATGTGCATTCTTATTATTCCTTCTATTTTATTTTTTACATTATATTTACAGTTTGTCCCCAGTGAGAAAAGGGTGTATACCAAATTTATATGCCAATTGACAACTGTATATGCGTGCATATCAAATTTAATAAATGATGCATTATTGTGTCGCAAGCGTGCATGTGAGTGAGAAATATGTAAGGCCATTTTGTAAACTTTCAACACAATGCAGTTGCACTAGATACAATTACATGTTCAAAACAAAATTAAAATTATATCTTCGAAACACTACAGAAACATTGTAAGCATTCGAATATAACACTTACATTTCTATACACGTCCGTATATCACGCAAAATTGAGATAATATCTATTATATTATCTAATATGTTGACCTAAAGTCTGACCACGCATGTTAGCCAAGCAACAGGATAATCTGAAACTCGATTCTGACATTCACTAGTTCATACGTACAAATTAATATGTTATTATTAATACCATTAATGGTATCTCTTTAACAGATTATTGTTGAAACAAATTGTACAACATAACATTGACATCGTTCCTACAGCTCCGTCATTTATGTTAATCACATACACTGATACAAATTCTATATTGGGTTCCTTGCAGTTTCAGAAATCGTTGGTCCTTCAAAACGAGGTTCTATGACGATGGCGTGTGTAGTATTTTATAGTCTGGGATTCACTGTATTACCTTTGATAGCTTTCTTTATTCGTGATTGGTCAATTCTTGTTCTCGTCATCAGTGTTTCCGCTGCAGCTCTTCTTTCATATTGGTGGTAAGTGGAAATTATTTCATTGTATATTTTAGTGGCGTGAAACCTAAGGGTCATATTCGTTTATTTGTTTTAGACTATTTTAGACCATTTGAAAATGAATTATCATATAGTATTATATTTATGCTGTTGTAATTTGCGATACTAATTAAACAGTTGAACTTAATGAAACACAAATAAATCAACAGCTAAAAAAATGTTCTCATCCACTTAGGTTACTCTCTGAATCTCCACGATGGTTACTATCAGTCGGCAAAGTTGAACAAGCTAAAAAGGTGCTACAAAAAATGGCTAAAGTCAATAAGGTCATTCTACCAGAGAGTGTATTTGAAGATTTGAATAAAGAGAAATGTGTTTTGAAGGTATGTCTGTGTATATCACGTTTAGTGTCCTTAGTGTCCACAGTAACTCATTCCAGACCATTGTCTGCTCCAGATAATCGTAATATAAAAGTAAAGCTAGACTGTCTCAAACCATCGTCATGCAATAGCTAGACTGTCCTTTATCATAGTATTATAATAACTCGACCGAGCAGACCATCGTAATATAATAGCTTGATTGTCCAATATCATCGTGATATAATAGCTGGACTATCGTAGACTATCGTGTTATAATAGCTAGACCGAGCAGACCACCGTAGTATAATAACTAGACCGATCAGACCATCGTACTATAATATTTTGACTGTGTAATATCATCGTATTAAAATACCTAGACGGTCTCAGACCATCGTATTATAATAGCAGGACTATCCCAGACCTTTGTATTATAATAGCTGAACTGCCCCAGACCATCGTATTATAATAGGTAAACTATTCCAGACTATCGTATTATAATAGCTAGGCTGTTTAAAACCATTGCATTATAATAGCCAGACCGATCAGATCATCTTATTATAATAGCAAGACTGTCGTAACATAATAGGTAGACTATTCCAGACTATTCGTATTATAATAGCTAGAATGCCCAGACCGTCCAGGCCATTGTAATAAGTATACTGCCCCATGCCATGGTTTTATACAGCAAGACCGTGCAAATCATAGCCAAAAATAATGCCAGTTTAATGGATAGCTGTTCGAAAGTTACGATTTTATAGTGTTTATTGGCCAAATGTCAGTCTCCGGGGTACACTAGTACATGCATATTTGGGTCGATATTCCATTGCTTACTAGCTATCCCTCGTGCTATTTGGAATGCTATAATGACTTATGCATGAATACAGAATGTACATAGCGAAGATAAACACGAGTTTACCGGCAAAGTCACCACAGGAATAGAGCAGGCATATTTGCTTTCGCGTACCAACCTCACGGACCCTAGACCAACGTGTCTAAGAGCCGGGTCAGTGAGACAAAATCGTTCGCTGCGATTTTAGTGCTTCTGAAAGTCTCATTTCGTTCCACAAAGGATCCTATCAGTATAGATCTAGAATATGTTAGTCGGGGTAAATCAAAATGTAATGATATATTTTTGAATTTACGAATATATTTGCGGGTATATATGCATATATGATAAAGTGTATGATAGGATTTTTAATTCTATAGAATAGAATTGGCGTTTCACATTGAAAATATAGTAATTCAATTCATTCCTCTAAATAAATAAATAATTCACTTATTCAATGGTTTAGAAGAGTAACCTAAATCGATTCATTAAATTGTCATCTGTTACAAATACAAAAATGTACAGCATCGCAACGCCTTTCATGTTTGTTTGCTTACTTGCAATTACGAGCATGTAGTAAGCATCAGTAATTTGTTTTTATTTCAGACAATTCCACCAGAAAATGGCTCAACTGATACATTTTTCAGTCTTTTTCGCCATCGAAATATGAGAAGAAAAACTCTGATCATTTACTACTGTGTGTAAGTTCCGTTTTTTTTAAAAAGGAAATATATTTTCAACAAAAGCTCATACTAACATTACCAAAAAAAACTGTTAAAGGTCAAAACTCTCATGTATGTAACAATACGTTGAGTAGTTCACGTGTTTTTATTTACTGTAGCTCTTCATTGAGTTTGCTGTATTACGGATTAACTTTCAACGTTGGGAATCTAGGCGGCAATAATTACACGAATGCTCTGATTGCTGGAGCTGTCGAGATTGTAGCTTATTCCTCGTCGATGTATTTGGTAGAAACACGCTGTGGTAGAAAACTGACCATATGTATATCTTCCATGATAGCAGCTATTGCGACTGTATCAAGTGCATTTATATCTCAGTGTAAGTATAGTTCATATTGAATATTAATCGACACCAATATTTGCTTATTATTCTTATATATTATCACCCGTTTATACCCACAGGTGGAGGTACATTATGGGTCATGGTTGCTGTGTACATGGTTGGAAAGTTTGCAGCCACAGTGGGCTATGCAGTCAGTCAATTATATGCAGGAGAGCTCTTCCCTACAACATTAAGGTAAGCAAAAACGTGTTAATTCGTTCAACTCTCAACATACAATAAATGATCACCTCATCTGATTACAATATTTGAAATGGATTTTGCAGCCAAAGAATAATATTACTGCACACCATAAATGCACATGTGTGTACATAGTCACAAGTGTATTGACATTGATATGCAGAGCTGAGCTGAATAAAACTGGCATTTAATTTCATTTGACATGTTTCACGCAAATAATTGTGAACTTGCATTACGTCTACAAAAAAACGACCAAGAAATTCAAAAATACTGGACGTACGAGCACATTCAAAACAAAATTTCGAAATGAACTAAACACAGACAGCACATATGTGTTACCAAATGAATGAATTTGAATGACTAGAAGCAACAAATTTAAGCGCAATATTCTTTAAAGTGTGACATTTATATCGTGATTATTTACAATGATAATATTGTTACAGTGTATCCTGATTAACTTGTTCAATACGCCCTCTGTCAACGAAGTAAAACCAAGCAAATTCTACGTGGTGAATGTCACCTTTCCAGATTGCTGTTTATGGGAGCAATGTTTTTTGCTGGAATATAAAAAGAAGGAGAATCTTAAAGCGTGTTTTTGCAAGTATTCAACGCGTAACTGGAAAACAAGCGCCTGCGACCCAATTAACACATTATTTTTTCGATTATTTAAGTTTCAATTATGTTCATGGCCATAAAATACCGGATAAAACACTAGAATTTATTGTATTATGTAACAGACTAAAATATGACCAAATAGTATTGCAAGCGATTTGCCATAACAAGACGTGCCTCATACAATTTTTGTTTAAAGTAAGAAATCTGGAAGCAATCCGTATTTAGGTTTATGTATGGTAAGTTATTTAATTTGGGCTCAAGACACAGTATTGCTTCAATTGAATCAAGACTAAAGATATTGTAGTACGTACGTATAACCCCAAATAAAATGTGTTATCGGATCGACCCATTACCTATATTACGGTTTTTCTATCTAAGTAATTGAACAATTGTTGCTATCTACATTGTTAGCGGGCTAAAACTATTTGTTTGACAATTGAGGGCGCTTTTATCGACTTACTTTTATAAAATATTCGCCGTAGAGGTCGCTGTTATATTCTGGAAAATTCACCTTTTCAATTAGACACTTTATCAACTATAGTGGCGCTGTCGAATATTGAAGTCGAACAACAAATGTTGATAACTACACCAAATCTTTTGTAATTTTCAACACTCGTGGATAGTCTATTGTTTATATGCATTGTTGCAATCACATGGTGACGTATTATTGATAATGTAATTCAGTCGAATATTGTAAATGATAACATGCTTACGTAAATTTTTTCACTTGCATATAATCTTAGAAATGGTAAAAAGATTTAGATTTCATCGATGTGTCTTGCTTACACAGCTATATGAAGTTGTTGTGTTTAGTTATCTGCAAATCTGATTCCCTAAAATGTATTGCCATTTTGACAAGCGAAAAGCCATTTATTTTTTTCATCATTCTTTGTGACATTTTGATGAAAAATATGTTCGGCGAATAGTAGACAAACTCAGAGTATGACAGTCGGTTGAATCTTCCAAAGTCTTAGCCATTCATTATCATTTATGTTCATAGTCTGCAACTGTTCAATGCAACTGTGTGAATCTAGTCTCTACATTCGTGATGTATTCTTGGTGTCGATGGCTTCCTCAAAAGTATGTGCCTTCTAATGACTAAAAAACGTACTTTTGTCTCAGTGAAATGGAGTGTGTTGTACAGGCACCAATGAAAGGTTACGTTCATCCATACATTTTAATAAACACTAATTCGATCAAACATTTGTTTTTCAAGGTCGGTTGGAGTAATGTCTACTTCATCCTGTTCAATTCTGGCTAGCTCGCTTGCTCCTCTTCTTCTGCCCCTTCGAATGACCTGGAACCCATTGCCACAGCTTGTGTTTGGAGGCCTATCAATCATGTCGGCTTTTTTGGTATTAACTTTACCTGAAACAAGACGCAGAAAACTTCCTGCGAACATAAACGAGGCTGAGATGTTCGAAAAGTATGGATGTTATTATTTCGTTTTACATTTGCACGATTTACAGAATTATTCTTGGGAGATCTAGAATATCTAAAAGATACTTACAAAACTGTGCGTGACTGGCTACGCGGTGCCACAATGTCAACAGACGGATCAGAGCGTAGCTTCTGTGTTGACTTGCTTTTCCGTCATATCAATTCTACCACGTATATATGATTCGGTCATAAACTGGAGATCAGTGGGCGACCATGCAAATGAAAGCTAAAATGGGGTAACTGAATACAATAATGTATTTTCTTTTTACACAGAAAACTTCCTTCTTGTGAAACCATGACCAAGGAACTCTAGGATGTCAACGGTACAATGGTTTGAAATTGAAAACGAATCTGTCAACATCGTATACAATTAAAGAGTGGATTTTATCTTGTCAGTAACCCACGATGTTTTGAACCATAACTAGGAGCTGCCAATTTCAGTTGTGTTAAACATTACACAGCATAGCTGATAAACTCTAATATAAGTATTGCAACTAATAGAGTCAGTGACGCCAAACGAATTATGTCATCTTAACTGAGAACTAGCAACCTTAACATTCTGTCAAGAAATTGTAAGGATAGAAATAAAATGAAAACGAAAACATAGTAGATTATTGGGAAAAGCTCCTCGCCCATATTTGATGTCAACAGAGCTGAAAAATTCGAATGGCAATTTTTTGGGATTACTAAAAACCATTCTACATTTTATATTTTCGTTTTTGCACCGGTGAGATTGAATCGTTAACTCGAAATTCAAATGCTCACATCTTATATAATAACGACTGTTTGTTGGACGGAATAAAGTAATTTTTCATCATTAATATAAGACAGCGCTATATAAATTCATTTTCACAATCATCGCGCCCTAGACTCCACATCGCAACGAAGCTACGTACATAAGTTGGGGCATGCACGAATACTGACAGCGTACTTACTAATGTTCCATCTGACAATTCCGCTGTGGCCCTTCCCTGGTTGCGATCACCAAGGGCAAACTAATACAAACGGCTAATTCACAAAAAAA